GGGTTTAGGGCTACCCTAAACCCTAAACCCTAAAGCCCAAACCGCAGAACCCTCAAGAAGCGGCCGGGAGGCTCCTCGACCGCTATGCCGGAGACTCCTCCAACACCTCAGCAGGATGGCTCCGTCGTGGGGCCCTGATTAAGCCTCCTTTAGGGGCTCCTTTAAAAAAGGCGTAAGGTTTAGGGCTGAGAGGGCGTCAGAGGCGGTTTGAAGGTTTGTGGGTTTAGGGTTTAGGGTTCAAAGTTTAGGGTGTCTAGAGGGTGTTGATCGGATGCTTGTACCCTGATTGGCTTTCAAGCGGCGGCCAACAGGAAATACCTTCAGGTTGTGCATTGCTTTGTTCATGCAGTTGCAAGCGTGGGCGTCGCATCCGGGGGAAAGACTCGGGCGTGCCAGGAGTACCATGGGTTTCAAGTGGTTTCAGGGTTTGGGTTTTGACTTTCTGAGCAGCCTCCACGGGTGTGAAGACCGGATTGGCAGACACTGTTATGTTCCGGCAAAATGAAGCTTCTCCGTCAGGTCTTTTTGCGCAAAATGCACGTGGCAGAGGTCCAAACGAACTTGGAAAATCACGGGGAAATGCCTCAAGGCGAAAAACACATGTGTCAATGTACAGTCGAGCCTGTGCGACTCACTCAGGTTCGCCCTTGGCCGCTTTCTCCATGAGCTCCTTGGCGTGCGTGACTGCGTTGACACAGCTCTTTGGCAGCATGTCTTGCATCTGCTTCACAGCATCTTCAGGTGCACCTGGGCATGTTTACATCTGTTAAACTTGTGCATAGGCTACCTAGACTATTCTTGTGGCAACTTATATCAACAAAGAGGTCCGCGTTTGAACAGGGCCACCACAAGCTGAGCATGTGTCTTCATGCAAACTAGCAGCTTAGGGTTTAGGGTTTAGGGTTTAGGGTTTAGGGTTTAGGGTTCGACGACATGACACACAAGCGACGCTACAACTGGCCATGACCCCTCAAGCGAAGAATGCTCCAGTTTCAAACTCTGTAGCCCTAAACCCTCAACCCTAAACCGTACAATTCCTCGAACCCTAACCCTAAACTCTAAAGCCCGCAGAACCCTAGCGCAGACCCTTTCTTTAAGGGGTTCTGAATAATTACCCGGATCCCTTTTCTGAACCCTCATCGAAGCAAGGGGCTTCATACAGCATTTTTTGTCGGGGTTTAGGGTTTAGGATTTAGGGTTTAGGGTTTAGGGTTTAGGGTTTAGGGTTTAGGTGTTTGAGATAGTGTTCAGTGCCCACCTGGCTTGGCTTCCCAACACATGGTGTAGTCAATCACGCAGCTCTCTGGCTCCTTGTCGCCCTCAGTTGCTCCACCTCCCACCTCACCTTCGTGGGGCAAGACCTGAGTTTCGAGACTTAACGGTTTAGGGTTTAGGGTTTAGGTTTTAGGGTTTAGGGTTAGGGTCTATGGTCTTACTTGGAGGGTCTGGGGACTCGGTAAGTAGCTAATAAGTAAAGTCAAAGTTATGTAAGCCCAAAACGCTCGTAAGAGGATCTGTCGTAGTCAGTCTGTCTTTACTCGGTACTCGTATTCACAAAACCCCAAACCCAGGACGGCCACGAGACAGTGTTCGTCACGAAGCCACTGAGAATGGGATGGGACTGGTGCATGCGGAAGATGACAGTCATCGCCGTTGCCTAGGCTACGGGTCTCAGGGCAGCCCGGACCTTCATCCTACCACCTGTAGCGCCATAGCTGAGTTCTCCAATTTAGACTTGTTGGGGCCTTAGGGTATTGAGGGAAAACAAGGGTATAGGGTTTTAGGGTTTAGGGTTGTCGGGTGTAGGGTTCAGGATTTAGGGCTTTCGGCTTTGGGGTTTCGGGGATTTACTAGGAATACACAGGGCTCCCTTTTTCGCATTTAGGGCATTGAGGGCCTTGAGGGTCTAGGGTTTAGGGTTTAGACCACAAAAAATGAAAAAGGGTCCACTGGGAGACCTAGGAAAGCACAGGGTCTAGCACAGCAGCATGAAGACTCCTAAACGCGTCTGTCTAAGCAATATACCGCAAGGATTGCAGAGGGATCCTGTGGATGTAAGGTATGCCCTAACCTACCCAAACTACTGTTTTTGTTAGGGCCCCCAAAACAAACTATACTTGGCTTCATAATACGAACCTACAAAACAGTAGGTTATTTGCTTCTTTAAAGGTTTAGGGTTTAGGCAGTAACCCCAAGCAAGCCGCATCTGCGCCGATGATCTCGTGAATGACCTTGCCCCCTGCAGTCATCTTGCGCTCAATTGAATGGCCGCCCAGCTCCTTGACAACCTCTGGGGCGTAGGGTCCAGGTTTGTAGGTTCGGGGGCCGGAACCCTAAACCCCAAAGCCTCAAAAGGCTGCAAGGAAACCCTAAGCTTCACCCTAAACCCTAAACCCTAAACCCTAAACCCCTAAACCCCTAAACCCCTAAACCCCTAAACCCTAAAACCCTAAACCTTGAAGCCCCACACCCTCTGAATCTAACGGCTGCAAAGTGTCGGGGCCCCAATTCAATTGAATCCCCTGTCTCCCAGCCCTGAAGGCTCTACAGGTGTTTTAAGGTTTTGCGGTTTAGGGCTTTAGGGTTTAGGGGTTAGGGCTTTGGGGTTTAGGGTTTAGGGTTTAGGGTTTAGCGATTAGGGTTTAGGGTTTAGCGATTAAGGGTTTAGCGATTTAGGGGTTACCGATTTTGGGTTTAGGGTTTAGGGTTTAGGCTTCCTAGCGTCTGTGGAGTTCAGGGCCTCCACGCTGGTCACGCCAGGAACGTACCTGAGGGCCAGGAAGATCCCAAGGAATCCAAGCTTCATTCAGGAATAGTGCCCCCAAAAAGAACCAAAACCCTGAACCCTAAACCCTAAAGCCCTAAACCCCTAACCCTAAAGAAAAATAACACTAAACCCTGAACCCTAAACCCCAAATCCTGAGGTGCAACAGGGTATAGTTTTAATAAAGACACCCCCCAAAAATAGTGTTTGTTAATGCCCAAGAAAAGCGGTACAAACCACACCACTTCAGAGTGACCTCCAAAATCCTGAACCCATAAACCCTAAACCCTGAAGCTCCTCTAAAATCTATGGCCTAAAAACCCTAAACCTCCGAGACCCTAAACCCTAAAACCTTAAACCCCTGAACTAAACCCTAAACCCTAAACCCTAAACCCTAAACCCTAAACCCTAAACCCTAAACCCTAAAACCTTAAACCCCTGAACCCTAAAGCCCTAAAAGCCCAAAACCCCAAGAACCCCAAAACCCTATAAGCCCTAAATCCTCAACCCGAAGCCCCACTTAAAGCAACCTTTCAGGGAACCCGAAGTTTGCCTAGAAACCCCTTGAAAGGAGCCCTAAACCCCTAAACCCTAAACCCTAAACCCGCAACTCGAAACCCTAAACTCTAAACCCTAAACCCCTAAACCCTAAACCCTAAATCCTCAATCCTAAACCGTAAACCCTAAACCCTAAACCCTAAACCCTAAACCCTGAAGCCCAAGCCCCTGCATCCCCTTAGAACACCCTTTTGAAGGCGCGGGGTTCCACACGCAAC